TCTTTTTGGGCGTGGCAGACAAAAGGCTATCTTTTTGGGCTGGGCAGACAAACGGCTAACTGCTTTTCCCACCTCGCGACTTTGGGTTCTAATATCTTACAGTAGAGGTTATGTAACACTATGAGCGTTTAACCAATCATTCTTTGCGGTTGTCAAAGCAGGAAATTTCTTACCCGGTAATTTTATGTCTCTTGCCTCGGGAGTTATTCAATATAAAAGTGGACAACCCTAACCTCAAAGAAAAGCAGATAGCCGTTTGTCTGCCACGCTCAAAAAGATAGCTCTTTGTCTGCCACGGTCAAAAAGATAGCCGCTTATGCGTAGGGAGGGTCGACATGTCTGTAAGATTTCTGAAACTGCATTCTGGCTTTTGAAGAAAGTTTTGAGGAGACTTACTGGTAATGGTCTGTTCGGAAGCCACCCGAATAACTGTTGAGTTATTATTTCCATCAATTGATGTCACTGCAGAATAAGCTTCCGAGCTTTGTTCGTCAAGCAATGTCATGTCAGCATTTGAAGAATCAAAGTTTGCAAATTCTGTAAAATCAAAAGCAAAAAAAATGTTAACTTGTTTCTATAACTCATAGGGCAACTACTGTTTTTGAACTGGAAGAACTTACTGTCACTAGAAGCAAGAGGAGCTAAAGGCATTAATTCTGAGTTAGTGGAATTATCACTGCTTGCATCCAGTTGAGGTTCCGCTACCAGAACAGCCACAGGCTCTCCATAAAATGGGCTAGACAGTGGGAGGGCCTCTGAAGTAATTCCTAGGTTTAAAAAATGCATAAAAATGATAATATTAATAAAAATACCATGTAAGGGGAATTTTTTAGAGTTTCTAGCACAACAATAAGTCCTTCAAAGTATAAAATGGAATAGAGTTAAAAGTAAGTTAGAAAGCAGATACATCAGCGTGTGTCTTGCATAGTTCCACAATACCATTGTAGTCTAACAAACCACTTGATTTTAACAGCAGGATTTCGTAACAAATACAGCTCAAGTGATGGTGTCACAAACAACATACCTGCTGCTTCATTGCGAACAGATGTCGAAGCTTCGGGTGCATGTCTTCTGCTAGCAGCTGAAAAAAAAAAGTTTGATAAACACACATCTAAAACTTCAGTTACTCGTAAAAGTAATTTGATTTACACACCTCTTGCGACATTCGCAAACATTACATTCATAGACTGCACTGTTATTGTACATCAAAAATAAACAAAACATGTTAGTAACTTCAAGCGATAACAACTGGAATAACAGATTTGTAATAAAGAAACTTGACAGTTCTCACCATCCTTCCTGGAGAGATTTGGTGCTGGACTTTCTGGTGGAGTCTCATCCGTATCATTAATAAGCTCTGGTCTGTGCTCATCATTAGGGTGATTTGTGGTAGTTTGTCCTGCCGTCTCTGTGGATAAAGACACAGTTAAATGTAATGTGCAAGTGAAGTTGAATGAAACAAAAATGGTCAACAAACATAACCTCTTCTCTCCTTGCGAGCAATTGAAGAAGTTCAGGAAAAGCTCTCCCACAATGACAAAAGATCATTGCCACGCAACAGCGTGCAAAAAAATAAAACGCCCCTACTTTTTTAACGTCAATGGAACCCAAATTTAACGTAGAGGGCCTAGAATCTCTTTGAAAGAACATTTCTAATCACCGCTCGCATGAGTTAAAAAGATTACATTTTACTTTCTCAAAAAAAATATGATGAAAGTTACTTACGAGAGGCTAAAGCGACGAGCTTCCTCGCTCGAGACGAGGTTGCACCTTTGTTCATTTTTACTTATAAGTAATAAATCCTTTAACTCATTCTATCCCGGGTGAAAAAACATTGACAGCAAGCTTGTATACAGAGGTATACAAGTAATTGTATAAAGCTGTATAAAGGTAATTGTATTACATTTGGTAAAACTGTATTACTTTGTCGGTATACCTTTTTATAAAATAGTATACAATATATACTTGAGCGTTCCAATTTACTCATGGGAGAAGCGGCCTGAGTGGTTGCCTGTCGTTTACATCACGTATGTTTTCCGAATCATCTTTTTGCCCTGAGCACGATAGTGGTTGTTTCACTTCCCTATGTGCAGCCGTTTACAAGTGATGCTGCATTTTAGAACTCAACCACATTTTGCCTACATGTAGGGGAGTGCCCAGAAACGTTACTAGTCGCTCTATGAGTGTATGTGCCTGCATACATTCTAATGTAGGGCAAGGTGGCATTTATTCACATGTATGTGGCTGTATACATGCGTGAGGTACAACGATGCTCTAATATACGTCGCTTTATATATAACACGTTCATTGTATATACATTGTATTAGATTTTATAAAAACGTATACATGCCTCTGTATACAATTGTATAAAGTTTTACCAAATACTATACACATTTGTAAAACACCCTTTATATTGTTATATTACGGTGTACACAATCATATTAAATTTTATAAAAGTCTATAAATTGTAATAAAATTTCTTAGTGAGTTGTATACAAACCGTTTCACCAGGGATCCAGCACTTTCCAGGGCCCACGGGCTCACGGCTCTCGCTACACACACACACACACTCGCTGCTTGCCGCTAGTACGTCTTGCTGCCGCATCGCCTGCCAGGCGCGCCACGCGGTTGGAGTAGATACACTACTGTGCGCGGGACAAACGAGTGTGCTCTGTAGATAGAATACTTACAAACCCCCTTAAAAAGGTACTTTGGGATCAAAATTTCGGAAAAATTTTAGGATGTACGTGTAGAGACACACGTCACGACCTCAAAACCACTCATAACTCAATTTGGTCAAAAATGTCAGTTAGAACATTGTGTAAACGACCCTTTGTAGATAGGACATTGTGAAAATGACGCGCTGTAGATAGGACATTGTGAAAATGACGCGCTGTAGATAG